ATATTGCTGTGTTTAATCATGTTGGTACTGATCTCTATGCTTTGGTATTAGATGCTTCCCTTATCAACACGAAGTCGAGAAAAATGCAGAGACATTAGGGTTCTAATATATATTAATTGTCTACGACAGTCTGGAGTTGCAAGCATAAATTTATCCAGTGGACTACAAATCAGAGTTGGAACTCCAGAGAGAAAATAGAGGAAGTGGAAGCTCAACTTTTTTTTCTTTGAAAGATGATACAACTGCCAAGTCCAAGCACTGTCATTTGGGACTTATTAATTGATTTTTCCAAATTGCAACAGCTATACATTTACAAAAAAAACATCATCTATAGAAATTAGCAGTAGTTAAACTACTGCCAACCAATTTGAACAAGTAAGAAGCATGAATTCATTAAGTTTGCTTTTAGTGTTGCTATACTAGCAAAACAGAGGTGGAGAATGAGAATTGAGGATGAGAGGGTTTTATTTTTCTTAATTAATTAACTATTTATTTTAGCAAGAAACCCGTGCACTCACATGTCCAGCCTTTGAACTTCTACCTTAAAAGATGAGAAATACCACGCCTTTGGCGGTCAATATGAGTTCACTCTACAAAACAAAAATATTTCCTCAGTGTTCTTCTATGGTGGCCACTGTAAAAAATGGTGTCTAATTTCAAAGGTCAGCGAATTGGTGGAATATATCTCCTATTCAGTAATTTTTTACACCTGAAGACTGTTTGAATTCTCAAAATTCCTATTAGGAGTCTAGAAGTGATGATAAGCAAATTAGGGCTTTTTCAAGAGATGGATGTTTCATGGTGAAATCAGCTTACCAAGTAGCTTTAACATTGGCTCAGCATAGTAATAGCTCTTTTGTGAAGGCTGCAGTTATAACATATTAGAGCTAAAGAAAAAAAAAAAATCTTCATATCTTGTGGAGCTGCTTCCATGGAAGAATTCACGTTTTTCTGAACTTGTAACATAAGGATGCGGTGGATGTTGATACTTGCGGTTTCGGTTTTGAATCAGTATAGATGAGGGGTCATCTCACCAATTTATGTAGCAGTGGCTCAAAAATCTGATGGACTTCCTAGCCAAATTCTGATATCAGAGAGGGCTTATTGAGTCCGGGCTATATGTTGTGGTGGAACCTTTGGAAGAACATAAATAAGTTTATTTTTTATATAGTCCGACCTTGATGTTTTTTTTGTTGTTGTGAACCAATGGAGTGAATTGAGGGCTGCTTTTAATAGATAACAAAGCTTCTGGTAAGGCTGCTGCTAACAACCCTGATATATAGTTGTTAGAAACCTCCTCTCTTGGGCTCTTTGAAGTTGAATTTCGATGTTGAATTCCATAAATCTACTGGAGAGGCTACAAAAGGAGTATGTTGGAGAAAGTTAATTTAACTAATAACTCCTCAGAATTTCATAAGCAGCACTAATTCGTCTTATAAAACATTAGGGTATTTAATCTATTTTAATGGTCTAAGAAAATCTGGAGTCGCAAGCATAAATTTATCCAGTGAAGTAGAAATCAGAGTTGGAACTCCACGGAGAAATAGAGGAAGTGGAAGCTCACCTTTTTCTTTGGAAGAGGATAGTACTGCCAAGTCCTAGTACAGTCATTTGGGACTTCTTTAACTGCTTTCTCCAAGTCCGAAAACAATCATTTCGGACTTATTAACTGCCAAAAATCATGGAACTACTATAAGAAGAAGGAGAAGTGGAAGAAATTGCAAGAGTTCAAAAGTTTGAAGAACTTTGGCAAGACAGAGAATCTGAGGTTCAAAAAATCTTTCTGGAATACTTCCAATCCATTTCCCAGTCCAAGAATTCTTTTGTGCTTGATCCAATCCTAGAACAAGTGCCTCCAATAATAACTCATGTCATGAATCAAGAGTTAGCAAAGCTATCTTCTTTCATAAGTACTGGAATATTTATTGTTAGGAGCTTTTTTCACTCTACTCATATGCTCCATTCTTTGAGCCACACAAATATTGCTCTACTCCTAGACTAGAAAATCCGACTTTAGTTGGCTATTATTGCCCTATTTATTTGTGTAATGTCCCTTAAAAGATCGAAATGAGTACTAATAGGATCAAATCAGTCATTAACCTTATCATTAGGTAAAATCGAAGTGCTTTGTTGTTGAAATGAAAATAACTAATAGTATTCTAGTTGCCCACAAGCTGCTCCATTTTAGCCCTAAAATTTGATCTTTTAAGCAGCTTGCCCACTGTGTGTCAGCTTGCCTTGAGGTCTCTAAGAAGTTCAGAGTTTTTTAATCCTTTCTCATGGAATGTGCTTGATCTAGTTAAGGTGTTGCTCGATAACTTAATTCAATGCTTATTTCCGAGTGGATTATGTACTTATTCAATAAAATAAAACAGTAAGTGTCACTTAAAATAACCTTTAATTTTATCACCAAATGTTGAATATTTAATTTTATCTGAAAAAATTCTCAATTTACAATTACCAATTCAAACTTCAGCTTTTAAAATTTAGCTAATAAATTTTTCCATAAACAATTTTCAAATTTATCTAAGGGCGTCGTCATCTGATTGTACTACATGATTTTCCGTGTCCCCCAATCTTTGCAGCAGTGGCTCAAAAATCTGATGGACATCCTAGCCAAATTCTGATATCAGCTAGGATTTATCGAGTCTGGTAGCCTATATGTGGTGGAACCTTTGGAAGAACAGAAAGAAGTTTATTTTTTTATATTGTCTGAACTTGATATTGTTTTGGTTGCTATGAACCAATGGAGTGAATTGAGGGCTATTTTATTAGAAAACAAAGCTTCTGGTAACGACCCTGTCTTAACAAAATAAAAAATACTGCATACCAATTTTGTGTGTTGAATGCTCTCATTACCATGGTAGCATACTATATAAGTCAGGATTAAACGTGCCAAAGAAGTGAATTATTTCCACCATAGAATTAAGCTACAATGGAGAGTTGCATGGCTTTTTTCAAGGTGTTAAAGGTCCAAGGCAAGGTGATCCACTCTCACCTTTCCTCTTCACGATTGTATGCAAATTTTTCCAGGCATTATTCAAAAACTCATCTCTGAATAGCCCATCTTTCAAATTCCATGGGAAATATAAGAAAAGGTGAATCACACAGTTAGCATTTGCTTATGATCTTTTATTGCTCTCTCATGGCAACCTTGAATACTAACAGTCCTAAAAAAATGCATTGGATCTTTTTTTCTTCTCTCTGGACAATCAATCAATCAATCAATCCAAAGCTTTATTTTCGTAGCTGGTGTGGATCTTGCCAATGAACAACTTTTTTTCGAACTTACTGAGGTTTAACAAATGGGATCTACCTATGAGGGAGCTGTTCTAAGGAATTTATGGCAACTTATCTCAAACAATACACAAAGTTCATGGGCACAATGGGATAGAGAATACCTTATTAGAGATGCATTTGGGAGATTAAATTCCCTTAAAAATGCTCCTAGAATTGGAGAAAGCTGCGGCAACTCAGAGCCCCAATCAAGCCTCTTCTCAAGATTAAAGTTGGCAATGGAACCACCACATCCTTCTGGCACGATAACTGGTTAACTAATAGTCCACTCTGCTCTAGATTCACTGACCAAGAAATCTCAGGTTCTGAAATCCCAAGCAATGCTTATCTGAGCTCTTATATTTCATATCAAGCTTGAGCATTTCTTCCTTCCATCATTACCTTGATCCCCGAACTTAATTTAGTTCCCACACTAGCACTTGCCCCTGATTCATACTCTTGGCTTCCATACCTTACCATTCATTTCTCCACACTCAGAACCTGCTCCTTGAGCTCACCTGTTATGGAATTCGATGTCCATATTCCAAAGCACAACTTTACCTTTTGGCTCACTATTCTCAACACCCAAATCCAGTTTCCATTATGGCTGTCATCTACTGAGTCAGTGGACCATTTGTTCTTCAAATGTTCGTTCTCAAATCCTATTTAGGCATTTATACAAACACAATGTGGATTCCACATTGGTTCTGTGAACTGGGATAATTTAATCTCTTGGGCACCCACCATTGGAAGGGGAAAAACCGCGGCAACTCCATTCGAAAATTGGCTATTTCCTCATCCATTTACTACCCTTTTGAATGAGCGGAACAGGAGTGTTTCAAGGTAGAAGTAAACCATAAAGCTTAATTCTTACAAATCTACAATGGAACCAGAGAAGAACTACCTAGCGTCGAAACAGTATGAGATTGAGCTGCAAAACAACTAAGTCGAGACCGTGGGATCTACCTCATTCTTTCCTCCGTCCTCCACCTCGACCTCCAGATTGAGTGTCCTCACTACTTCCTCCCCTGCGGGGACTGAGTGCTGAATATAGCCGTTGAAACCTTTATTTGATTTGATCTAATGATGACCTTGGGCCTACTATCAATTCGGGCTGGCTAAGTCCGTTGGGCTTGTTGTTACTTAAGTCTGCTTTTGTTCTCTTGGTCTATATTGTGCCATTCCCGATCTCTGAGTCTATGTAAATTTACACCTCTATCAATATACAATATGCTTAACAAAAAAAAAAAAATTGCAGCAGTGAAAACTGATTAAAAAAAGAAAAAAAAAACAGAGTGCATATATTTTAGGTCCTGTGTTATATATTAATTAGTGCATATATTGTCTTAATTGTTCTGAATTCCTCCAACAGGTAAAAAAACATCAATAAATAAACCCCATTAAACTGAATGAAATGGATCTTCCTCATGATTGCACTCTATGATCCTTTAATTGTAAGTTCACCATGCAGGGTTCTAAATAAAATTGACAAATTGTGGAATGATATACATTGGATTAAGAAAAATATAATCCAGAGAGGGATCAATTTTTACAACTAGAGTTGCAAAACAACTAAGTCTCCAGATTACCATTGGATTACAATTCCAAAGCTACTAACTAGTGTAAAACAAAAAGTTGGAACAGTGAAATTAAAACACCAAAAGGAAGACCTAGTAACTATACAAAAGCTCAGGATCATCTTAAAATAGCTTGTTTCCGACTGATCAAAGTAATGGGTGATCAGACAGAAGACTTTCAGATAAAGCGTTGATGCGTGCCCCGAATTTAGTTTCTAACACGAAATCAAAGTTAAATGACCCTATCTGCTGCAGGTCCTCTACTGTACCACAAGAGTTCATTGAATTGGTGTTGGTGAGATGATCAAAGTAGAGTCCTGCAGTCAAATCATCATCATGTGTTGGCAGAGGCTCAATATCGGGCAGATCATCAAACAATTCTGCCATCTCATCATGCGCTGGGAGCAGCTGAATATTGCTGGGCAATGGACACGGCCTTTGCTGCGTTGGAAGCAACTCATAATGATCATTTACCGTCACTGCAGTCTGATCAAAGTTGTTTTGTGGAGTACTTGTAGAGGCCTCATCATCATAACTCATCTTCGTTTTTTCTTTAGGACATATTTTGTTAAATTCCAAATCAACGTTGTCAAAAAACGAGTCTTCAATTGGCTCTGCTACTGTATAAGAAGAGTTGACTGTTATGTTGGGCAGATCAAAGAATCCTGCAGTCTCATCATCATGTGCTTGCAGCGGCTGAATATCGGACTTTGTAGTAGTAGTTGAAGCATCAAAGGATGTAATATTGTTGGGTAATGAACACAACCTTTGCTGCATTACAGTCTGATCAGAGTTGTTTTGTGGAGTACTTGTAGAGGCCTCATCATGATTATATCGCATCTTCTTACGACTAGGGTTTTCTTCTTTGGATTCCTCATGCTTTGGTGCTCTCTTGAGATGTTTAGAATCATCTCTTTTGATTTTGCAAATAACGTAATCATGATCATTACTACCTTCAGCTTCTAGCCCATCCAAACTCACACCGCCCAACGAATATTCATGCATAGTCCAATGACCTCTCGGCATGATTGCGCACTCATCTTTCTTGACATCCGCTTCAAAATCCAACATTTTCTTAAAACCAATAAGCTGTTTCTGTCGATTATAAATACTCATTTTTTGGGTTCGGCCGGTCCACGTCCCACACCCGACTCTCCTTACGACTCTCTTCTTAGTACCAGTTTTCTTCAACTTGGTGAAGATGTAGATAACAAATTCCTGTTTATCTTTGTTGGCACTGCTCTTTAATGTATGCCATGGATCTTCTGATGTGAATACGTCCCATGGAGCTTTTGCGTAGATCTCTCGCTCAATGATAACGCCATGGTGGGGCAAAGGTTCTTGCTTTATCTTTCTTCTCAAATATTGGGTGAGAAGTTCTTCTTCGGTAAGGGGAAAACGAAAACCTAATGGTATAGACGGCATCTCTGGTTGCCTGAAAAGAACTCGATCAAAACCTTACTTGGGTTCTAATTTGTTTCGCGCCGATAGATACACACACACACTGCCTGTTTATATAGAGAATCTAGGATGTCAGAAGTGGATTACAAATAGGAAAGAGAGGCGGCTCATATATTTGTTGCCTTAAATGAGTTGCAATTAGGCTTGCCTAAAAAGTTACTTAGTAAGGAAGGAATGAACGTTTATGGAAACTGGGGAAAGAATTATAATTATTTCTTTAATTTTTCTATCTAAAATCACAATTAATACCGTAAATATATACTATTAATATATTCCTACTATAATTACAATTAATAACATGGGGCATGGCCCCCACTAACCTCTCTCTCTCTCTCTCTCTCTCTCTCTCTATATATATATATATATATATATATTGATTGTGATCATATACAGTGAAATAACTATCTACCTTTTTTTCTCAAAAAAAAAAAAAAAAAGAAAAAAAAGATTTCCTACAACATTTACTCATGCAATAGTCAATTTAATTTTCGTCGTTAAAATAGGTTATTGTAAGTCAAATTTCCTCCTAAGTTCTAAATTTGAATATAAATTAATTAAGTTATTAACTTTATAATTTTCTTTTTTTATTTCTAACTAAAAACACATGTCATGGTTTTTAATCTGAAATAAACACTGTTTTTTTTAAATAATTTTTTTTTAAATTTCTATTAACCATTATTAATGTTACCCCAATGAAATGAAAAAAAGAAGATAAATTCTTGTGTTAATTATCTGTTTTAAAACTACTATTATCAGTTTAAAAGCCTCATCAGGCTCTTTATAAAGTAAATTTCCATTTACGTAAACCACACTAAATTCTTAATTAGTCGGCATAAAATCAATAATCTAAAAGTATTTTAAAGCTACCGAAATTAGCTGGAAAAAAAAAAAAAAAAAAAAAAAACAAAGAGGAAGAAATTTTGGTTGTGCCGAGCAACGGGCACAACGGGACCATCAATATAATACATGCACAATAATAAAAGGTATAGGCCCATTACACATTACAACGGACGTAAAATTTTCACCGTATGTATTTATTTATCTGTTTTTTTTTTAAAAAGAAGTAAGCGGAAACGTGGCCAGCAATGCTGCTGCCAGGTGTTTTGTGATAAAAACACATTAAATTTCATTCCATATTTATTATTTTATAATTTTTTAAGAAAAAAATAGTAGGACACCTAAGTCATACAAATCTTTTAAAAGGGCGCCGGTCTTACTTTTTGCGCCTTGCTTCTGTACCCGTTTACTTAGGAACAACACTCTTTTATCCAATCCGAAGCAATCCAATTTGTGCAGAACGGTTTGATTTTGAAGGCACATCAGTTCGATTTGGATTTGAAGTAAAAAAATCCGATCTAATTTAATTAAATCCCTAATGCACATATATATGTTCCAATACCCAAAACCAAAAAAAAAAACCATTTTGTTCCACCATATTAAATCTACTAACTCTAGAATTTATTTATTCAAGTAAAATTTTAAAACCGAACCTTGGTAATTTTATTTTTTTAAAGCCAATAAATTTGCAATCTAATAATTGAAAGAATTTATTTATTTAATTTGGTGATCTTAACAAGAATTATTGGTATAATGGTATGTTCACATAAACCCAATTTATAAGATTATTCACATCCAATATGGTGTTTTCCGGATTGTATCAGTGTGAGTTTGATTTGGTTTCAGTTTCATAGGTTTGGATTGGTTTTGATTTTATATCTAAATCAAATCAATTCAATCCGCGTGCACCTCTGAACCACAATTAACATTAAAACCCTTTAACCCTTTGAAATGTAGTTTTTATTAGAAAATAGTAAAATTTTAAGAGAAAAATGTTTCCAATATCCTTTTCACAATTTCAATGGGGGCAATTTCATAATTTTATGAATATAAATGCAAAAAAGTATAAAATTAAGGATAAAAAAATGCAATAATAAAAAATCCAGCCTCACTGAGCCCTTCACAGATCTGTGCCTGAATACACTCACAAACTCCCTCAAAGTCCAAAGCAAGATCTTCACAAGACATTCTCAAGTATCATAGCAACAACAATGAAGTAAATGGTGACTGATTTTGACTTATATACTTGTAAAGTATGCATTGGCCGGACATTCCTAACTTGGAGACGTCAAATTGAGCTGGAATCCTCAGTCGTTCAACAACGGAGCTCAGCTCACACACGTGTAAAGGCTGGGATTCGTGGTACACCTACCAAAGAGGATCCCGGCTCCATCAAATTGCCTGCTACTAGGACTTCAAATAATTTTCTGCCAAATAAATCTAAATCTACAAAACAATTTATTGAGATACCACCGTAGTAGATGTGTCCCTATGATAATTTGAAACGGCATTGAAGCAACAGAAGACAATGCTGGCTACGGTGGACTTTCAACCTAACTAACACCGAAAAGCATGAACATGGTGAAGCCTTTTTGTTGAAATACCAGTGACCTAACCATCAATGTCGAGAGGGGAGTTGAGATACAAAGCTCTGTTCACATAAAAGGCAGCAAACAAAGATAACATCTCTTCCTAGGTCTAAATTTGAAGGCAAAACAAGAACGTTATATATTTGATGATCAGGAGAAGTGCTATTTTGAGCCTCCCTCCATCATTGATGAATCAAGACAAAACCTAAGCCAACATGGTAAAAAAAAAAAAAAAAAAAAAAAAAACCTCGTGAGAAATTTTAAAGGATGTGATTCTTCTGAAGTACATTGTTTAGAAAGCACATGTGATATAAACATTTAGAAACAACTCAGTTTCAAGGGAAGACCCAGTACATCACAGAGTCAAATTTTAGGTGGTGTTATGTTTTCTTAAGTTAGTTTACTCTCGGTTCAATTTTATATGTTATATCAAAATTTTGTATTGACGCAATTTCTGTGACACTAACGGAAGACTCTGCTATATAATCAACTTTCATGAATGCAAAATTCTAGAATAAAGAGTTAAGACTGAAACTAAGTGACACATACCTACTCCAAACCAATGCAATAATAAATATGCTGGGTAATAAACATAAATCATAAGTTGCCCAAAATACTCCAGTTGCAGGCAGTATAGCACCAGTGTTTGAGCACAAATTTGGTATTAAAATGGTCTAAGGTCTCCGAGCATCTTTCACCCTAATTTTCCCAATAGCTCCTTTTGCACTTATTAGACACAAATTCCCAATAAGAACGTTAATTGCGGTCCGTGTTGGAGCCAAACCAGCACTACTAATTTCATAAAAAATTTCTAGGGCAGTCTCAATTCTACTAAATTTACATAAACCAACAAGAATAAGTAGCAGGGAATCCAATCGTTCGAAAAATCATAATTACAGCATCAATGAATTCCCCCAAACATTCCTTCTTACTAAGCACATACAATTGAGTCATCACTTCCTCCTCTTAAGAGGACTGAGTGCTGAATACATAAATTACTAATTTGAGGAAATCATTCTTACTTAAAAAGAGGGAGAGAAAAAATACAAAAAAAGAATGAAATTCCAAAATTCATCAATTAGGAAACCTACAAGTTCACATTCAAATTGAGGATGATTTTAAGTGAACCAACTCACAAAGGATTGAAGAAATTTCAGATGGGATGAAAATCAGTCATAACATGAGAAAATTTAGGTATTAGTCATGAAAACATTTTTGTGAGCCAAAAATCAACGGCCAAATGGAAAGGTCTGATTGGATCTTTGTCAAAGTCTGACAAGAAACTGATGAAATAAAACCATGTAAAAGAGTGGATGCATTGTAAACCCACAAAGGGTCATTTACTTCCCTCTCACAAAACCCACAAAATGAAAGGAAGCAACCTGTGTTAAGTCGTCATAACAGATATTTAAAAGTCAATTTTAATGTCACAAATCACCTACAAGATGCAATCAACCTATAACCCAAAATTTCAATCCTCATTTATAGCATAGATCATCCTTGATTAAACCAAGCCAAGTGGAACAAACTAAAAGCTAAAAATACAAGCACATATGCCTTCAACAATGGTATCTAAAAGTCTTTAGAAACACAAATTAAGCACTGCTCACAAGACATCATTCAGAATTTAATATTGGCTTCAAAAACTCACCAATCCAGAAAAAGGAAATTCCAAAATACATCTAAGAGGCACATAGGCACATACAGATAAAACAAACATTCACGTGTACAAAAGCAATGAACAATGAACAAAAGCAAGAACTAGTAACTACACATACAAGTTCATCATCTTAAGACAGAAGACTTTAAGAAAAAGCCTTAATGTGTGCCTCCATCCCTGAATCAAAGAAATCAGTTTCGAAATCAAAGTCGTCAAAAAATGACTCAATCTGCTATAGGTCTTGGTCTTGTACTATATCACAAGAGTTCATTGTATTGATATCATCATCATGTGGTGGCAGCAACAGCTGAATATCGGAAGATGTTGCATCAAAATTGTCAAAAAATGAGTCTATTTGGTGCAAGTCTTCTATTGTACTACAACAGTTGATGTTGGGCAGATCAAAGAGTCTTACAGTCTCATCATAATATGTTGGGAGAGACTGAAAATCAGAAGACGTTGCAAGCGGGGTCTTTTGTGGAGGACTACTTGCAGAGGCCTCATCATGATCATATCGCATCTTCTTCTTCCTCTGACAAGGGCTTTCTTTTTTGGATACCTCACGAGCATGCTTTGGTGCTCTCCTCAAATATTTGGAGTCATCTCTTTTGATCTTACAAATAACATAATCTTGATCATTACCTTCTTCTAGCCCATCCAAACTCACACCGCCCAGCGAATACTCATGCATATTCCAATGACCTTTTGGCATGATCGACCACTCATCTTTCTTGATGTTTGCTTCAAAAACCAACATTTTCTTAGAACCAATAAGTTGTTTATGTTTATTATAAATTTCCTCGGGCTTGTTTTGGCCATCCCAAGTCCCACACCCAGCTCTCCTTACAACTCTCTTCTCATCGCAAATTTTCTTCAAC